ATAACATCGGAGTTATTTGGGCTTTATTTATGCATAGTAAATTTAGCTCGAAAAAATGTTAATTAATGAAAATTCTGTAAAATATTCTCTTTCKAATATTTTATTGCAATATTTTGTAATATAACAAAGAAATATATATATTTTGTAGAGGAAATTCGATTTCTTTTCAAAACGAAGAAAGTTTGCTGTTATTTTGCGTTTTGTACAGTGCACTAAATTAAGCGAAAAAACCGGAAGTAAACATTGAAATCAAACATTGTCGCTTTTCTTCCCGAATATTATCCCGATTGAACCCAAACTCACACAGCATGACCAGCTCACCAAATGCAATTTTATGACAAAGTTTGAAGGATTTTGAATTTTCTCATTTTACCAACCTTGCTTGACGGTCTCGGAAAACCGCTCTTAAAAAAAATATTTCCCGCAATTGTTTTTAATAGATATAAATGAGACATATTTGTATTGCTTGAAATTTTGAAATAAGACCATTTTCATGCAAATAGCACTTTTAAAAATATACTGAGGACAAAACATGGATGCAACAGACTTTKTTCAGTGATCGACTACTTTCGATAGAAAATCTATGAAATGAGAATAGAATAGCTTTTTTTAGAAAAGTGATATTTTGAATTAAATCAGGGAAATCAAATTTTTGAATCCGCACGATATTCTGCCAACCAACCTTGATTTTTCTTGCAGGCAGTGGGAGGAGAAAACATCAAACATTTTAAATAATTGCGTAAATAATACTCCAAGAGGTTCTTGTCTCTGGCAGCAACACACATGGGGATGTAGACCAGCGACGAACAAATAGCAAAGGCAAACATCAAGCAAAGAAGACGAATGGCAACTTTGTTAAGTCTGCGATTGCGTCTTTTACTCTGCTCTCCTTCGACAGCACCAAGATTACGCAGCTGTAAAAGAAAACATAGCAGCGTTAAAGGAGCACTTTCGCTTTTGTGATGAAAAGACAATTACGGATCTTTTGTATTGTGCTCTCTAAAACAAAAAAAAAAATAATTTTAAATCGTGAAGTAAAACTTGATTCATCGTATCATTCCGTACACAAACGAATGGTTCTATAATTAACATATTGCACTATGTTAATTATAGAACCATTCGTTTGTGTACGGAATGATACGATGAATCAAGTTTTACTTCACGATTTATGAATGTAGTTTTTTCGTTATCTTATTTGATATATCTTTATGTCGGATTATAAAATATCTTCTAAATTTCATTATGTGTAATTGTTTAAACTCAAATTACTAATCTTTCACGCAACAAAACACCAGGATTTTTAGGAAAACTAGTTTTGTTTTATATAAAAAGCTCAGTATGTGACATTGTTTAGCGATTTTCTTGCGAAAACGAAATATTTCAAAAACCAATTACACAGGGATTGTTACCTAATCNTGTTTATTCCAATAAGTCATTTGCTCATACAATCAAAAATATTTTCTTGACTTGATGTTTGATCTTGAATAGAAGTTCACAGGAAAAAATCGTCAAACTTATGAGCGAAAACATTGAATCATTTCAACCTTAATTCATTTCAGGACAACTCATAAAAAACAGTAATTGAGCTCAGTTTCCTGTATTGCTTACCACTGTCTTCCTCAAAAACTACTACTGCATAATGATTGTTGCATCCGTAGCATTCTTGACAACGTTTTCCAACTTTTTCATGTCTCTGTTTCGACGGAGCAATACTCCAAATTCGAGTTCTGGTTTGCTCTGTGTTAGACTCAAAACCAAGTAACATATTCTTTTGTTTTATTGATAGCTAAAAAAAACGCATGGAATTTGTGAAGAAAGACAATAGAATTGATTTGAAATCTCACACTTTTATTCTCACAATTGCGCACAAATGAGGTAACACAGAGCATTGGAGAATTCGAAACTGGAGTATTTGCCATCGTAGCTCAGTGGATAAAACGTGGTCGTTTAGCGTGCAGACGGCCCCGGTTCAAGTCCCAAAATATACACAAACTAGACGCTCTGGGAGCGTGAAGTCGGACTAGCTATTTTTGAATGTATATTATGGCGTAGAATATTGTATTTTTTACTTCTAATACATAGTGAAAGCAAGAATGCGTTACCGTTTATTCACACGATACGATATTCTTTTTGACTGCTCTCTACAACGACAAAACGATAGAAATCTAAATTTTGACCTCAAAGATCATGTAATTTATAATACCCTGCGAACAACTTAAAAGTGACTAGATGTCGCTAAGTGATATCATATCTAATACGTTTTTAATTCAAATTGTTGACCTCTCAGGCCAAGAAAATAAATACTTTAAAAAAGATGCCTATAAAATAATCAAAGTCGCCTTTTTGTWATTGATACTGACAAAGTTTCTTTTTGTTCTAATTTGAAATCTTTTCCCAAACAAGACTKTCTAGCGCTAGAATTTAGAATTTTTTTAGGATTTTTCCGTAAGCATACAACTCGACGCTCTATGCGACCCGCACACGCGCGTACTTCTGATGCCTAGACTGATGTATTCCGATGAGATCACAGATATCACATTTGTAAATGAATAGTTTTTTTATCACATAAAAGCGCAAGTAGAATTTAATATTTACTAACGCGGTATTCGTACATCTMTACGTTTGAGCTTCCGGTCATGTGATAACACAGGCAACCCAAAACGCGACATGACACAGATAGATTGACTAAAAGGTAAAAATAGTAAATTTCAGCACTTTGATAGCTTATCTGAAGGTCCAAAGGGCATATTGTTGATATAAACGTCGGCCGAATTTGACTACTTCAAACAAATGGTCGTGAATATTCACAACCATTTGCTTGAAGTAGTCAAATTCGGTCGACGTTTATATCAACAATTTAGGAGTCGAGAATTTTACGTTTCCCTGGATCCGTTTCCCTGACTCTTTCTAACCGTCGACACATACTCGAAGCGGAAACCGTTTTAAAAACMTCTTTCAATTTGTACATTTTACGCAAAAGAATCCTTTTAAAGACCTTAAACGACATTTCGCTCCAGTCTTATCTATTGTGACACAGGAAACCCAATGATTGATCGGGTGTCGTATAAAAGTTAGTAAAATAGTCATGACGTAATGTCTAATGGAGACATGGTCTAGTGGAAGTGTCTCTGCCGTTGACGCGAGAGGTCCGGAGTTCGAACCTCATCGGGGATATGAATTTCTTTCTCTTCGAAAGAAAAGAAACAGGTAGACCGCGAAGATGAATAATYAAAAATAAGTTACTGAGGCTACAACGCAGTTTACGAGAAGTGAGTGACTGACTTAGTGAGTGACACATCGTTTCCCTACAATAACGAGTTAAAAATGATGTGAAAAGATCATACGCAAAATCTATCAAATCGATCGCGGCGCTGGTAAAAATATATATTAGCGTAACCTGTACACGGTATGTTCCACGAAGTGCTTCTTGTCTGACCCTTGTCTTGCTAGAGATCGGAAAAAAAGATCCAATTCCATAACCTCTCTGAAAGGGTGCTCCGTGGAATACAACCATCTGTCTCCCTTGTTGTTTACTCATGTTTAAAGGAGTGAAGAACGTTTAAAATTTAAAGTAACCTCTCCGCACCCACGTTCAAATGGGATCTTTCTACCTGTATCATCGGTTATAAGGAGTTGAATTGTCTCAGCATGGAATTGTGGGTTGTCATAATTGTGCTTAATAATTTCGCCATTTTTTTCCTTGTGCAGGTACAATTAAAAACGCTGAGTTTACGTTGCGAACGCATTTATAGGCACGTGATCAAATACTCCATGAATTTTGGAGTATTTGATCACGTGATAATCAGTGTTTGCCAGGGTCTTTGCTGTAGCGTCCGCCATTTTGAGAATAGCTACAGAGAGGGCACTGGGAACGAGGTTGTGTTTTTCCTAAAGAGTATACACGAGCAGTTTTTAAGTGGTAACTGTATGTGTCAAATTTTATTTGCCCGTGTAGATGACCGGCAAATGTTTGTTGTCAATTTTCGTYTGTAGTGATTTTGGACGGCAGATAAAGGCATGAAAAAAAATCCGCATTGCTGCAATGGAGATGACTACGACTATTCCAGAGACTTTCTCTTRCTCTCAACTCATCTAGTAATAACGAAACTAATTTATCCGTCCAACGTTTTGCCATCTTGGATGCGCAAATGGTGGAGACTGGGGTCTACTACAAYGTCGCAATAATTTCCACATTTCTACATGTGGTGTTCGTCCACACGGACAATTTTCGATATGTAACAATTTTTATTTGTCATATTAAATTAATAAAAACTAACATGGCAGTTTTCCTACAAATACAGTTGCCACATAAAAAATAGGCTCGTGTAGACGCCTAATCAACAAATCTTTAGCAAAATTAAAATTATAAAGCTGTGGACAGCTTCGCTGTCTTAAAGGAAAAATGGGCAATCAGTATATAAACAAGCAACATGATAAATTATAAAAATTGTACCAAAATTTTCTTACCCTAAACAGCTTGAAAACGACAACGAGAAGGCAACTGCAACCAATTCCTAGGGCAACCTCTGTTATCAATGTATTTGTATAGAAAGTAAGATCATAATTGCGCGGAAGACATATTCTACCAAAAGAGACTGTAGCATAACCGTTTTTGCTGAAKACAATGCAAACAGGAATCCACGGCAACAAGTAACAAAAAGCAGCACTGATAGCATGTTTCCATTTGGTTGGTTGATTAGAAGCAAGTGTGCTTTGAGAAAAGATCATCTGATGAAAGAAATCAAAATAATTGTGATTAGTACAGCTGCTTTGTCRATTTTGAGAATAGATCAGAGTTAACTTTGTTTTCGTAAAACAAACAGCAGAGATTTTGTTGCGCATGCGTGCAACCCCTGTTTGATACACGATACGCTTCTACAATTTATTCTGAGCCGATGTATATTGTTACTATCATAGTCTGCCTGATTATATACCATTCTTTATTTTTTAAATAACCATGGAGATAATGTTACTCGGGCTTTCTGTGCGGGAATATACGTTTCGCTACATATTATATATAAAATTCATATTGAAAATTTTGTGCAGTTAAAAGAAATTGAGAAAAATCATTAAAACGTCAAACATAAACGGCTTACTGTCGCAAAAAGTGCGCATATGTTGGACTAACCTTGTCGGAAGAAGAGCTCAAACAAACAAGATATTGCTGAATAGTTTCAGTTTTCTAACATAGATCCTAATCTGGATAATCTTAACACCAAGAACCATAACATTGACTCGAAATATCTATTACCCAGCTCAACATCGCTAGAAAACAGCTTTCATCTTTCCCCCAATTGAAACTCCACACATTTATTAAAAATTGTCATTAAATATTGCCAGCTAACCTTTGTCCATCCCACTTTCCCATATCTGTATTGAATCAATCTCAACGGGGATATTTCCAAATACTTTAAAYATTTATTCATGAATGGTTTCAAAGTAATCCATAGAAAACTAAACGCTCTTAAAGCGTGAAGTCGGGCTAGCTATTTTGGAATGTTGAGATACGCGAACGAGTGAAAGATTTTCAACACGATAAGAWAAAATGTGTATTTCCAAGCGACAATATAATATTCTGTCTATCATATCATTATATATGAAGGTAAATAATGGCGTAGAATACCTATTTTCTTCTAATATATAGTGAAAGCAAAAATGTGAATTCTAATTGTTTACCACGCGCCGTGACATTCTTTTTAATGCAATCTTTAAAGAAAAATACCTACTTAACTTCAAGTTTTTGTACATGGACTAAGTTACTAGTCAGAGGAATTCTAAAAAGTTACCGACTGTTTCAAATAAATCCTCTTAAACGTGCTTTCAATGATATGCTATATCAAATGGTTGACTAAATATCGCCATGCACTGATTATCAGTGATATCTTATAACTGTAAACTTGTCGTTTTTAAAGAAAATACTTTTACAAAAAAAGATGTCTATAAGATAAAGTAAGTATATAAAGAATACTAATAAGGAGTGTTTTATCAGATATAAAGGTCCATGCATGTGACCAAAAAGGCTTATTCTATTCGCCTAATAACTCATTAATTATGCATGAGTTTTTGAATTAAATTTAAACGTAAAAATAAAGTTACAGAAAAACGAAAAATCCTACTGGATTCATGCATTTTATAGATGTCAATCATTGGATAGCTCCTCCCCCAACATGAACTGGTTTCCTCGAATATCGACAAAACTATCCAAGAATGGTCAAAGCGTTTTCAAATTCTTTGCGTTGAAGAGTGATAATTCTTCAAACGGAGATGGCTAAGTATTTCAGAAATTGTGTAGTSCCTTTTGTGTTAGTGAAGGATTCGTTTCGAAAATATAGACTTTACACAAATACACTTGTCAGAGAACAGCTCGGGAAATTGTGCTATTAAACGTCTAATAATCAGGATATCTGCCTGCGGCTATATGCAAGAAATRCCAACATGAATCGATTTAGAGCATTCAATTACTGTCCGAAAGGATATAACATGATGAAATACGAATAATATTACCTGTCAAAGACCAATGTTTTGACTTTCTTCTAGGTGGATCACTGATATCAAGTGTGTATTTGTGAAAAGTCTCTGTATTTTCGAAACAAATGCTTCAATAACACACAAAGTACTACAAAATTATAGCCCTCTCCGTTTGAAGAATTATCACTCTTCAACGCAAAGAATTTGAAAACGCTTTGACCATTCTTGGCTCTTGGCTAGTTTTGTCGATATTCAATGAAACCAATTCATGTTGGGGGAGGAGCTATCCAATGGTAGTCATGGAAATGTCTATGATTGACATCTATAAAATGCATGAATCCAGTAGGATTTTTCGTTCGACTCCCTACGTGTTATCCGTAACGGCAGTAAAGTACAAATCAAAACGCCCAAATTCAATTTTATACTATTACTAGGGGCAGAAATCAGTGAAAAAGACGAATTTTATTCAGTATGGGGAAATTTCGGTTGACAGAAATTGACGAAGAACCGACATATTTT